GGCATTTTTGCTTTCAATAAGTAAATTATAAAGAAATTTTAATGAAAATATGTATAAGATCTTTAAAATTGTTTATAAAAACAATATATTAAGTATGTATATTAATAAAATATATGTGTATAATTCATCGGTTTGGTTCGGTTATTTCTTCGATTTTTTTCAAATAAAACCATAACCAAACCAAATACTATCGGTTTTCAAAAATCTAAAACCAAACCAAACCAAACCCAAATAAAATCGGTTTTATTTTATCGGTTTGGTTTGGTTTTTCGGTTTGATCGGTTTTTATCCAAACCGTGAACACCCCTAGGTGGATGTGTGTTTATAAAAGAGATAATTATTTTAAGTAGTTAACTTGACTACCTAATGGGCAGAAGAAAACATGTGAAAAGATTTTTTTTAAATTTTAAACGGAAAGTATCTAACTGAATCATAGGAATTCAATTAAAATATTACTTAGTTCGAATCTAAATGAAATATTCTAATAAATTTAAGTATAATTTATAGAAATCTCATATAATACTAATTATAGTTGTTGTACGATTGCAGGTATGACACCACCAACCAGGGAGAATGTTGAACACCTGTTTTATAGTGGAGAATATGCACAAACAATACGGCAAAGATTTGCAGGATGGTTAGGCATCAGTTATAGAAACAAAACTCTTAGAAGCTTATTAATCGAATGCTAGAATTTCAAGGTCAAAAATTATGTGGCTGCATATATACTCAAAATTATGCCACTCATAGTCATATGGGAGCTATGGAGATCGAGATGTTGCTCCAAGTATGATTCAAAAAAGTCATCTATCAATAGGTCCAACATTCTAATCACATTCAACATCTATCAACTCATCAAAGCTAGATTCAAAAGCATCCCAAGTGAAAGTTGGGAAGATGTTTGTTTGATTTTTGATAAAAATATGAAAGGTCGTTGGAGTGATCAAGTGGATTAAACCCTCTCCTCCTGTTTTTAAATTAGACATCGATAAATCCTGCATTAATGGAGCTTATGGTGGGGGAGGTGTACTTAGGGATTATCAAGGAAGAGTCATCATGACTTTCAACTTGCCATAGGGCATGGAACCAATAACAAAGCTGAAGTCGTCGCCCTCCTTTTGGTTTAAAATGGTGCATAGTTAATGGTTTCAGTTCTACCATTGTTGAGGTAGCCTCTTTATTGCTGCAGAATTGCGTTATCAATGTCTGGACAATCCTTTAGTAAATCGAAGATGCGGTCAAAGAGATAAAGAATCTTATAGGCATACATGATATATCTATTCAACATTTGCTTCAGGGAAGCTAATAACGTTGCTGTCAAATTAGCTTCTCTAAGTCACTCACTTACTTAAGTACAAGTCTACTCTCACTTCAACACCATCCCTTGAATAGTGAAAGGGATTCTTAACATAGATAGGTGAGAATGCTCTTCCTTTAGATTAAAAAAGCGTAAAGCAAATACTTTGAGTTATGATCCCCTTAAACCTCTTTGGTTATGCTAGTGCTTTTTTTAGCTTAGATCTTTTGTGTATTCATGTATATGGTTTGACTATGTAAGAAGGTATGGCCTAGCCCTGCTTCTTCAAATGTAATTTCTTTTTCAATGGTAATATATGTGGTTATAAAAAAAAATCAAAACTTGGTAAAAAAAAAAAATCTCATACATTTGAGGATTAATTACATTCTATCCCGAAAGTTTTCTAAATTAGAAAGATCACTAATTATTCATTGTTTTCGAATACATTTCTTAGATGTCCAATACATTGCAAATGATACATTACTTAATGGGAGGAATGAGGATGCATCTGACAATGATAGAGATGTATTCAGGGGGATATGAGTGTATCCGAGAGGGAGATAGGGATGTATCGGAGAGGGGATAAGGATGTATCCAAAAGGAGATTTTATAAAAAATTTAAAATGATAGAAAACTTTAGAAATTATAATATCTCCAGTTGTGTATTTATATAACTTTTCCTAAATTGAAAAAACTAGCTATGTATTAAGCCAAACTTAAATACAATTCCTATCGTACCAACCCATCATTATGTCCAGCCAAACCAAATCAGGCCCCACATCTCCAATAATCAAAACATAATCACTCGACGAGATAAGTAGAAGTCCTTGGGATGAGTCATTCTATCAATTATTATTTTGTGTTTGTTGAAGTCAATGCCGTTTGTCATTTATTAGAGATTCGAGATTTAGGGCTCGTTTGGTGTGAGAGTTTAAAAATAATAGTGATGGAATAAAGAAATAGTGATGAGATAAAAAAAAATTATGTTGTTTGGTTGCCATGTTTGGATAACTTATCCCACCATTTATATCATAGTGATGAGATAAGTTATCCCAGGATAGTTAACCCCATGATAACTTATCCTGGGATAACTTGTTTCCAACCAAACGACCCCTTAGAGTAATACTTCTTCCGACAATAGTGGTTGATTATTTATTTTGTACGTTTTTTAAGAAATTATAAATAGAAGACTCAATAGTTTTACCATATCACCCTTTGAATATAATTTCTCTGTCCCTAATTACTTGTCCACATTTCCTTTTTTAGTTGTCCCTAATTACTTGTCCATTTTGACAAATTAAGAAATGACAATTTATTGTACCTATTATACCCTCAATTAATCACTTTGAAAAAAGGTAGAACTTCTTGAAAATATTAAGTTTTTAATTCATCCATTTCATAATTAATAGGAGTAAAATGGTAAACTCACTATGTCAATTATTGATTTCTTAATAGGTGTGTCAATTCAAAAGTCAAGTAATTAGGGACAGAGAGTAATAAATATAATATCTTGAAAAATGTAATAGGAAACTGACTATAATTAATGATAAGAGTAAATTAGGAGGAACTAAGTGTTAAATTATCCATTGATTTCATAAAGTGGACAAGTATTATTGGATATCTCAAAATAATATAGTAGACAACTATTGTTGGACGGAAGGAGTATTTATTTCATCTTAATTTTGTGACACTATTTTAATGCACATTAAGTTTTTTTTTAAAATAAAATATTTGAATCTTATGCTTAAAAACATGTCTTAGACTTTCGGATAATTATAAATCTATCTTATTAATAGTAACTGAAAATAAATTAAATTATTTATAATTTTTTTTCTTTTTTCTTTTTGGATAACAGAAAATATACTTCTTCCGTCTTTATTTATATGTCATCCTTACTAAAAATAAATGTTCTTTAATATTTATCATTTCACAAAGTCAATGCATAAATGACATTATTCTTCCTATTTTACACTTGAGAGTTATTAGACTTGAAAATATACATTTGACCAATATAGAAAAACTAAGTAAATAATTTATTTTCATTGGTCAAATTAATTAATCAAAATAAATTAAATCATGTTCAGTGATTGAAAATTTGACTTTAAAATAACAACAAATAAGGATACAATAATAAACTTACCTAATTTCTTAAGGATGTGAAATCTAGAATAATGACAACTAAATAGGAATAGAGGGAGTACCACATAAATTGAGATAGGAGAGTACAAATTAAATTTGTCGCTTTTATGGTGATTCAACCATGGGCTTTTGAGTCTTTCTGAGTCAATTAGATGTGTATGTATAAACAATTCTTTATTTGGAGAAATTTCATAGAACCTGCTAGGTTTCACCAAGAAATTTCAAGTACTACTTTATTGGAAAAGGGAAAAAGAAGAAAACATCTAGTCCACGCAAAATTATTTAAAATAAATAAGTTGATACGTTAATTCTCTCCGAGAAAAAAACTGACACTGAATTATTTTATTTAGGAAAAATATGACATAGCACTAACTTGCACGTCATTTTATTCACTACTTATCCTGAAGATTTCGACACAACACGATTTTTTTTTTAAAAGACTCATAAAGTGATAGGATGGCGTTGGACTAGCAATACCTAAGTTAGATTGCAGGCACCTTTGGGTGGATATGGAAAAGGCTATAGTGATACTTTAGATAGGTAAACAGACCATCAATATTTTATCTAGATGTGTTTTAAGTTTTAACAGATAAATAAATAAATAAATAGTGATAGTTCAAATAGGTAAAGAGAATATCAAATAATTGAGGTATAATTTTGCAAAACGAAACAAAAAATTGAAGGTGCACATAAAGGAAAAGGAAGAAATATACTGTAACATGCAAATTCTCGAGTAACTAAATTACCCAGGAAGAATCTGTGAAGTTACATGGTTCATAATATCATCAAATAAGAATTAGCAAATTTAAGAAACTACACAATTGCAGTTTATTGCGTGAATCAGCCGATTACTAACTTTCCAGCAAAAGGAAGTCATTCACAAGTCTAATGGCAACCAAGAATGCGATTAATAGCATTGACCTATTATTTTTACATGCTGGATCAGCGTGTGAGGAATTCGGAATGAAGAAAAATGAATCCACTAGACTACGTTCAAAATTCAGGGACAAGGCTCGAGAAACCATACAATTCACACAAATTCAGTGAAGTTTGAACTCAAGTCGTTAACCATGAGGCGACCTATCTTGTCCCCAAGAAAGGAGTGCTTTGTCAAGCAATTATTCATAAAGATTATACATTGTGTTTTATGCTCGCGGAGATTTCAAACAATTCATGCTTTCTTGCACTGGTTCTCAAGCCACTCCATTGTGACACTCTTTGGCCTCTCTAGCGGCAATCCAAGAGCTCGGTCCCAAATTAGCTGTAAAGATGAAGTATTAGTAGAATTTCTAGGGAAGTCAACAGAAAGACTAGAGAAAGCACCACTAAAAAACAACCATAGTAGAAAGTACCTGAGAGCAAATGCCAAGAGCTCTTGATACGCCAAAGAGGACCGTATAATATCTGTACGAGAAAAGATCGAAGGAAGAAATTAGTTTTTTAGATCCATTTACATAGTCAATTCTGTGAGCAATATGAATCTGTCATACCTTGCTTCAGTTAAACCATAATAGTTCAACAACACACCACTGTGGGCATCAACATTTGGCCAAGGGTTTTTAACCTGCAAAAGAATTCCCAGTCAATGAACAAAAAGCATTCTGCCGACAGAGACATGAAATGCCAAATGTATAGCAGCTCAGAAAGAGCATCAACAAAAGAAGACAACAGCTTATGGGATAATCAGAAAACAAAGCATAATTAGAGTTCATGGAAGTTCCATATGAAATAAGAAGGCTGAGGAAAAATCCTAGAGATCATACAATGATTCTGAGAAAATCAAAATGACTACTGAGATAAGGGGAAAATCTTACATACAATTGATAAGGTACCAATACCTCACAAAATCCCACTTTCAGCCGACAGCCATGCGTAAAAAGTGATAATCTATGTTTCTCGGACTCTTCAAAAATGTCAACTGGTGCGTGTCGGATTCTCCAAAAGTAGTGTATTTTTGGAGAATCCGACACGGGTGCGGCATCAAAAGTGAAGAGTCCATGCAACTTAGGTGATAATTACCTAACAACCTGAAAGATGCACTTGAGTTCTTCCAAAATTTTAATCCATATTTTAAGTTCTTTCAAAAATTTAAGTCAATCATCTTAGTGGAGATTTAGGGTAATTAGTAAAACTTGAATGCCGACCCCTTCCTCCAAATGAAAATAAATAAATAAAAATAGACGTACAAACGATCATGCTAAACTGCTATTACAGGCTGAAGCAATATCAGTAACAATGTAAATGGAAGATTTACTTTGCCAAGTTCTGTAAGAACAGGAGGAACAACTTCGTAGAGTTTTGAAACCTGCAAGAACGAAAAGCCAAGATCAAACACATTGAATCAAGGAGTATCCTCAATGTACAGCTTCAGGCTTCTAAGAACTAACCAGTTGAAACAGTGGATCTTCAGGCAAATGCTTCATAGCGAACTCTCTCTGGCATGTATATCTTGGATCAGTCTTTCGCAGAACTCCATGTCCAAAACCAGGGACAACCTGCAATTTGAGAACGATAGATGGGATCGTGACTATAAAGTTCTCCATCATCTACCCAACCAACATCTAAACTCCCAGAAAGAGGGGGAGAGAGAGACAGACAGACAGAGGCGGAGAAAGAGACTATGTTGTACATATATACATACGTACACATGTATAATATATATATACATACAACACACACACACACATATATATATATAGCGAGAGAGAGAGGACAGTTTTTTTAAAAGACTCAACAGTCAACACATTAAGATATGAAGAATAAAAGCTAAGAAAAGGTTTTGTTTGAGACTAAGTCAACTACCAAATCTCATTTGAGTAAAGTTCAGTAACCCTGATGAGAAGAGCAGTCGGCGAGACAAATAGAATGTGTTAATCATTTTTTCGAATACTGTATGAAATATAAAAATGACGCTGACGGAGAATTAACTCTTTGAACCTTAGTAACATGTGATGGCAAGTCAAAATTTTCATCTAAAGTGTGAGCTCCAATTGGTTGAAAAATAAAATTAGCAGTCACATAGAAATATGCAGAGAACTTAAATACTACCTTGCCACTGTTCAATGTTTTCCAAACATAGTCTTTCAACTGCTCTTTGGAAATGTTCTCCCCACATTCTTCTACAACAGATTTTATCCATAGCAAAACTTCCTGATGGAAAAGCAGAAAGTGGCAGCTGGGTCAACTTAGCAGATACAGAATGCAAATATAATAAATAATACACTAAAATTATATCTAATCAACTGCTGTTTGCTGGAAATTTTTGAATTTAATAGAACCAGACAAAAAGACATACCATCTGGACTGATGAAACATTTATGTCATTGTGTAACATAGATAACAGAAACAAACAGAATCTTTAAATGAGGGAGGAAAGCATACTTAAATTATTGGACCATATGATAAATGAATGGAATTTATTTGGACGAGTGAATAATTTTACTAAACAGCTGGCCAAATAAGCAGAGATTTTCCATCAAATTATAGAGTCCGTTTTGGTTTTTCATTCATATTGTAGATGGAAATTATTTATTGAGGCATATGGTGCAGCACCAACAATGGCATGTTAATTGTGAAGAATATTAGTTAGAGAATAGAGCTTGTTTATCTTAATAACTAAAAGTTTTGTCCTCCAGGCTCATTGGAATTTCACATATCTTTTTCCAACTTAAATCGCACATCATTTCGTTTCAGATTTTCATCCCTCCATTTATTTGAGCCTCGGGCAATGGGGATGAATATTAAATACGCAGATGACAAAAGGAAATTTCAGCAAGGGAAATACCTAGTGTGCAATCAAAGCAGTATAGAAGAAACAACAACTGTAAAGCAGACAAAGCACCTGATTGGCTAAACCATGAAGTGGTCCGGCTAAACCATTCAAAGCAGCGGCAAAGGAGAGGTAAGGATCTGACAAAGCACTAGCAACCTGAATTGAAGTACAATTAGTGCTACTGAAAAACCTGACCATAGAATGTTGACTTATGAAAAAACATGGACAAAAACAAGGCTTAAGCTATTGGAAATGCATATTCCCACTTGACATAGAACTCTATGTTAAGAGTTAAAACCACTAGTAAACACTTAGTTTCTCCATAAACCACAGAGTGAAGTAAAGAACGCACCAAGTGACCGGTGTGAGCACTGACATTACCACCTTCATGATCACTGCAACACAACAAAATCAATACCAACTAGTTATAAAATGCAGGCAACTGGAAATCCTGGTTGCCAGGAAAGACGTTAAATACTCAGAAGCAGGTATCATAAAATAGTTATAATAATTCAGGACTCAAATTAACCTGTGTATTGTGACATAGAGCCTCATAAGTTCATGCATTTCAGAGCTACTGAAACCAAGCATGTGAGCAAAATTTGCACCATAATCCAGGGATTCATCCTTAGGTATAGTGTCGCCATTCTTGTACATCCTTCACAAGTGCAAACAAAAGGATCAGTTTGCACAGTTTCAAAGACTAATTTCCATGTAAGCATTAAAACCTTAGTTGCGCGGACTCTCCACTTTTGATGCCGCACCCATCTCGGATTCACCAAAAATACATTATTTTTGGCGAATCCGACACGCACCCGTTGGCATTTCTGAAGAGTCCGAGTTTAAAACCCAATAACAGAAGGCTACTAAGCAGAGAAATCAGATTAGGAAATTATCTTCTTCCAAGTGCAACATATATGAGGATAAAAGAGAATACGAAAATAAAAACTGGTATATACCATACTATTATCTGACCTGCGATAAACATAAGCAGCAACAAGTGGAACTTGAGCAATCAGATTCATGGAATCCTCATATGTTGGTTCCCAATACCTAATGACACAACATTGTTAGTGTTTTCCTGGAAAACAAATAACCAGCTTCAAGAGATGACTTTGACGAGGCTCACTTTGATTTGTGAATCCCTTTCTCGTATGCCTTTTGAAATTCACTTTGAACCTACAGAGAAAACAAGGTAGTGAATTGGTGGTTGAAATCTCCTAATAAGACAGCAACAGACGAAACCACCATTTTCTTGAGCTAAATACAGATGAGATTCCTTCTTTCATCTTTTAATTCCAAGGTTCTCAAAGATCCACAAAACAGTAAGACAACAGAATATGAATTTCAACACTCAGAGCTGCTTCATGATGCTACATATCTCTTCTTCTTCTGTTTTGCTTCTTTTTTTTTTACAAGGGAAACCCGCAGCCGCTACCCTTTGGCTACGCATAGGGTAAAACTCTCACTTCTATGCAATAGCTCGCAAACCACACAGGTGAGGTAACCCGCACTAGGCAAGCCCGGTGTAACGAGCTCGACCCAGAAGGCAAACCCCTTGCTTCGCTGGCAAGGGGTTTCAAACTTGAGACCTTCAACATGGAAGTCCCAAGCCCAAACCATTGGGCCACCCCGAAGCACTTAGGAACCATTTAGCCATAGATAAGATTCCAAATATTTGAAATAATATTTGGAGATTATTTTGAATTACTCTTCAAACTTGAAATATAGAATTTGAGGTTTGAAAAAAAAAACATTTTTAGGCTTTTCAAATTCACTCACAAAATTTCAACTGTATGTTGATGTCCAATCACAACTTCAACCTTTCAATACCCTTTTTCAACTTCAACTCAAAATACAACATTTTTCAAATCTCAACAAATCATGTCCAAAACACCTACTTAAATCTCCCAAAACTCACTTAAAAGAGATGAAAGTATGAATAGTTCGGCCTTTCGCAGGTGGAAGAAGGGACAAGCTATCCTTGATTACACGACAAGTCACCAAAATTTTTAGTACATATGAAGTGTCACTACAGATTCCAAGTTCACCAAGCCAATAGGTGCAGGCATCAAATAAAACATTACAGCACCAGGTTAACCAACTTCACACCCTATATTTTGTTGAGAAGCACCCAAATCGTCTGTTGTGAAGATCAAGTGTTGGTAATGAAGATCAGAAAGGTCAGAATCAAATCAAAGGATCCATGTTTAATTGTGAATGCATGATATTTAGGAAATTACTGAAAGCACAAACAGATAATTAAACAGTTCAAATTTCACCTGAAGAGCCATGACTCCAGTAGCAAACTGGGTCATTGGATGAGCTGTGACTGGTAAGGCATCAATAGTTTTGTATACATGATCTGCAGCAATAAATTTACGGATAAAACCTCAGAAAAGGAAAAGCATCAAGTGGTGCGATGAATGAATATTTTTAGCAAGTGCAATGAATGAATATCATGCAACTGAATTTATAATTAAAAAGGTTCAAATTTAAGGAGTGATAACTATATTGTAAAAGCCAAAGACTAGCAGCACCCAATAAAAAAATGAACAAGAAAATACAATAGGACAACTAACATACCAGGGATAGTAGCCCGACTCTGCAATTCCTGAGACAATGAATTCACTTGCTCTTTTGATGGCACCTTCACAAGAGTATGAGAGAGAAGATAAGTATAGTCTTAAAATCTAAGCATGTATAATAACCACCTCAAGGACTCCTATAGTAATTTTTCTAGACAAGTCAGACTCAGTTTTGCACACTTGCAATATTATATAACTAGAGTAGATCCGGCTTCGTGTGCATGAGAAAAAGAAATCTATCTACTTGCACAGAAGGGGAAACTCAGTCCAAACACAGGGCTTAAGAGCTGTTAAACAGAGAATCTTTGAAGTGCCTTACAAATTCATACTTTGAACTCAATTTCAATAAAAACTAGAGCAACATCGTGAAGCAGTTCTAATGAATATTATTTCAAATTCCCTATGTGATAGGGTAAATTAAGCACTCAAGAACTCACTCACCTTTCCTGTTAAAAGAAGCCAGAGAAGACCTTCAGGCAAGGGCTCACCCCCAGGCTTTGCTGCAGGTAATACCTTTTGGCATTCAGGTATAGACAACCCCCGGAAGCGAATTCCCTGAAAGAATATAGTAAAGGTAATGAATGGCACGACAGCAATCACAGAAACTAATATGATTTTGTGATTGACTTGCATTCATTATGGGATACAGATTAGGTAGAATGTAACCTCATCAGGGTCAAGTAATGAGGTTTCCCACAGTAATCCTGTCATTCCTCTCATTCCACCAAGAACCTTTCAAATTGAACAAATGTCAATCCAGATTTACAGCATATTCCCAAACTTATGTTTAACTAAAAACTTCTGTTACCATATCAACTGTGATGTTCCCCAATTGAACCTTTCCATATTCTGACTTGATCTTTTTCAGGCGATCCTAATGAAAAAAGAAAATAATTACGAGAATTATAGAATCAGAAATATACATATATCACATGATAGATGATCTCACATCTCACAACTTTATGAAAGCCCCTCTCAGTGTATACAAAACATGAGACTTCTTTTTTTCTATATAGAAAATTTTCATGAGAAGAGAGAAAAAACATGTTATGATGGAAACATTCTCCCGTGTAGTTTAGGGGAAAAGTAGAAACTGTGAAGTAAAGCCCCAGTATACACAAACTTAAGCTCTGGAATCAAAGGGAACTAAAGAGGTAAGAAATGAATCTATATATACCTGTTGTTCAGGAATCAATTCTTGCAGCTCAGAACGCAGATCCTATATCAAATAAAATTATTAATTGAATTATATGGGAATATTAAGAAGAAGTGTAAGAATTAATTAAAAGATGAAGGGGTAACACATTTTGCATTTATCATTTCAAGTTCACAAGTACTTTAAAATTAGACATCGCTTGTATACTCGCCTGCCTAAATAATTTGTCCTCTGGCATAGAAAAACAAAATAGCATACAAAGGGCAGGAGAGGTTCAGGTGGAAATTTGTAGACTGGCTATTACAAATCAAAGTTGAAAAGAAAGAAGGTAAGTAATCAACCACACAATGACAATTAGCCTAGGTTTTAATGCAAATGTGTATCCTCACTTGTCTATTTTTCCTCTGTGGTATTGCAATGAACACGAACAATGTGTTGCACAAAATAAAGGACACAGTAATGCTTGAGATTTGTGCTTCACTGGACTAGCCAATATACAACAATAATATCAGGTGACATCTGAAAATCCGAGACAAAAACTGCGACACTTTGAGAGCCCTATGACTGCATTACAACCTAGCATGAGCCATCACCTTCAAGAGTTTGAAGAAAATTAGCTGGCCTAGCGTATAATTTAGCTTGTAACATCAAATGCATCCTCAAAATTAATTTGCTTACACACTGTCAAGACTCAAGACTAGTCAAGTGGAAGATTAACTTGACCCAAGAAAGCCATATCAAAGAAAAACCAGTATTTCATTATCTTGGGAATCAATTTTGTTAACAAGATGTCAGATCCTAAAAGACACCATAGTGTTTCAGCAGTGTTTTCACTGCAAAATCTATATTTCCATATAGGATGTTATATAAGCTAGAGCCCAGGTGCTTAATGATGTAGGGAAATTAATTTTAAAACACTATGAGATGCTCAAACCACCATTTCATACTCAGATAATGGTCTGCAAAATCCAGATAATAAAAAATGAAAGAAAAATAATACTAGTTAACTTATGAACTATAAAGTAGCAAAAACAAAGCTGGTGGTTTCGGAGTAACGAACTTAAAAATTCAAAATGATAGTCTCCTTCGTAAACGGTTATGGAGATCGAGATTCAGAATGCAGGATCAAGTGCTGGGGAGAAAAAGTCATAGAAACCAAGTTTGGGATCCTCAATCAGTGGATAACAAAGTCCCCATCTAACTCGTATGAATTCTATGTACAGAAAACAATCAGGTCACATTGAGAGGATTTTGGGCAACACCTATTTTCTGTTGGGAGACGGAAGGAAAATAAGCTTTTGGCATGATTCTTGGTGGGTCATATCCCTCCCAATCAACAATTCCCAAAACTCTTTTCATTAACTTCCAATCAGGTAGCTCTTGTTGCTGATTGTTACCACAATCATGGATGGAAATTAGATTGTCCGAAGGAATTGCACTGATTGGGAATTCAACTGAGTTTGCATATTGGTACAAAAGATAGGATCCCTGTCCATCTGTCCTAATAAACAAGACTGCCTATGCTGGAAAGGTACAAAAGTGGTTTTTTCCCTGTCAAGTCATGCTCCTCTATCCTTCAGGACAACCCTATCACAGGCACATTTTTGCCTTGGAAACACATTTGAAGAAGCTGTGCACCAAATAAAATCCAACCTAGAATTTTCATCTTCATTTCTAACATTATGATATGAACTGCTTCAGTAGAAAAAACACAATAACACCTATCACCTTCCAATATCAAGTCGCTCCACAACAAACAATGATTGGTTACATTCAAAATATTGATTATTTTAAAAATCATACAACTGATCCAAACTAGCTTGGTAATTGAATAATATGTAATCACAAAGTAACCAAACAGCTCATTAATATTTTTCGCAGAGGGAGACATTAGAACTTACAAGACCAGAAGAGGTTTGGACTTGAAGCCAGCGCACAGAATTGCTAACATTTGACTGTTGGACCTATATTTCAATAATGAATTGAATTTAGATCAGGAACATACATACTTCAATTTTTTTTAAAAAACTATTCAAATCATTAATCCATCACATGAACAACAATTATTTTTTCCTTTGCAACTCACCGCTCGAGAGCGAAGCTTTGACAACAACGAAACGCTACGATAGAACACCATTGCTCGCGAAAATAAAAAAATTAACTGAATCACAAAGTTAAATTAGTCACAAGTATCTGTAAATGATTCATCAAGACAATCGCCAGTGCAAAATAGTAGAAAAATCCATATAAACGTGCATTTCAAAAAGGAGGATACCGGAACGGGATTGTTCAAACTCAGCCAAAAGGTAGAAATAGATCACCAGCTAATAATTTCAAATAAAATCGTAAACGCAGATCAATTCGATGAACAGATTCTGGAAATGGCGATTGAAAAGAAGGATGCTTACCTTTTACCAGTGGGAATAGATCTCAAGTAGGCTGATGGAACGAAAAAGAACTTGCTCCTCTAAAGTCCTGTGCGGTTCGTTTTATTTGACCGGAGTATTTTTTTTGCACCAAAAAGAAAAAAAAAGTGTTTTTTTGCTTAAAAAGAAAAATATATAATTATTCAATCCAAATGGTCTTTTGACTTCAAATATTGAAGGCGTCGAAAAGGCAAAATAAAGCTAAGAAGATTTCCAATAAACTAAAAATTTCTTTTGCAAAGTTTAAAATATCAAGCAGCTATTTTTTTTTATTTTCTTTTTTGAGCCAAAACAATGGCATACTACTAAAGAAAATTAAATAAAATAAAAAATAAATGGTGAATAATGCAAAAATAATGTGTGTTTTTAGGCTGCGGGTTAGCCGCCAGAATAGCACTCCATTATGACTTTTGGATCTCCCCATCCGACAGAATTATGATTTTTCAATAAACTCTCTTTTGAAAATTAATTAATCTAAGCACGACCTGTGCCAAACTTGTCATGGGTATTTCATATTCCATGAAATTCTCTTTTATGCTAGACACATTCTCCTATTATTATTATTATATTATGAAAAAATAAGAGAATTCAAATAGTAGAAATAGATAATAGGAGTAATAGATAGATATAGTAGATAAATATTAGTTGGATTAATAAATGATGAGTATTTTTTATTATAAAAGTTTAGGTGATTTTTGAATTTTTTAAAAATTTCAAATATTAGAATTTGGCCCAAATACTATTTTTTTTAGTATTTGGGAACTTAGGATTCTTGGCAAATATCATTATACGCTGTAATATCTTTTTTTATTTTATTTTTCATTCGATGTTTGAAGTCCACATTGGAGCTCCGACTAAATTTGGATCGCGCTCTGCAGGGGCATTCGGGGATGACGCTCACAACAGAATTTTCTCCATACCCAGAGCTCAAACTCAAAACCTTTAATTAAGGGTAAAACACTCCTAGAAGTGCGCCACAATCCATGTTGGTTATACACGGCATGACTTGCAATATCATTATACGCCAACCTTGAACCTTGTACGAATTAATGTATCTATGGCACATTAAAATGATCCTCTATGTACTGGATCATTTTGTTTAGCTTAATAATACTATCTCTCTTCCTGTGTATTAGTCCACTTTTGAATTGATACACTTATTAAGAAAATAATGATTGACATAGTAAGTTTACCATCTTATTCATATTAATTAGTAAAAACTTAAAATTTTCAAGAAATTTTACATTTTTCAAAGTAATTAATTGAGGGTATAATAGGTAAAGAAATTATTTTTTCTTAATTTGTCAAAGTAAATATATAATCAGGGATAACTAAAAAAAATGGACAAATAATTTAGGATTGAGAGAATAATATAAGGCTTCCTTTTAGAAAGAAAAAAAAAACACTAAATTTTTGAATAAAATAATAAAACATTGATCAGAATGTACTAGCGAAAAATCACAAAAAAGGAAACAACACAAAATTAATTTTATGTTGAAAGTGGTCAGACAGAATAAAACAAAATATGTTATTTCAATTTTCGAATCTAACCAAGTTAACTCAAATTTAAATTTCTATTTTCTTACTAAATAAATCCTCATAGTTTAATAGTGAAATTAAAAAAGGGAAACTTCTTATTTCACTAACCCTTTCTAATGTCTCAATATTTAAAAGGTATTTTCATAAACAATGCATGGAAAGGAGGAGACGAGAGGGAGTTGTTCAGATGGTAAGCACCCCTCACTTCTAACCCGAAGGTTGCGAGTTCAGTCACCAAAGGAGCAAAAGGGGTGAGAGCTCCTAGGGAGGGTAAAAAAAAAAAATCCAAAAAAAAAGAAAGAAAAAAACATGGAAATGAGGAAAGAGAAACCAAATTTTCCTTAAGATATAATGGTGAATAATTATCATCTGAGAATTAATCAATAGCGAACTCGTAATTTAAAGAATTAAAATATACTTTATCATAATTTTAATTAATTTAAAATAAACAAAGTATACATGTATTTAATTTGTATGCTTGCCCAACAACAACCACTAAGGTATGTAAAGGTACCATGAAAAGATCTTTAATGAGTACTTTTTTTATCTTTGAGTAAACAATTCGGAAAACATAAATAAGTATTATTTGTTGTTTGTGTCATTTAATTCTTCACCACAAGTGAAATTCATATAGTAAATTAAAATTAAAAATTATTATAACAAGTAAAATTAACATAATATTGAAAAAATTATGTAGACGATGATATATAAAAATGAAAAATTCAAGTATGACTTCTTTTACAATTTGGAGAAGGATCTTTCCATGACGAAGCATCAGATTCCTTATTCTGGTGATGAATAATATAATAAAGATAGAGAAGCCATGTGCAAGTGATCAGGTGCTCTGTCCTTCAAATTTGGAATCTTATTCCCGACAATTTTAAAAGTATTAAATCGGTTTGTTTTTTATTTTGATTAATAATTGATTCAAATCGACCTGTAAATATTTATCACCATTCATAATCATCATTCTCAGCAACACCACCGTTGTTGGTAATTGCTATTATCAATTGTCATCACCGCTTATTTACAATTATCACCAATCATCATAACCATAAAAATCACAAATCACAACATACAAGTAACATTACGGCCACCATTATATATCGTCAACCAACGTCATCATCCATTGGTCATATTTGATATAACTTGCATTCAACATTACTGTATTCATAATACAATTATCAATTTCTACTATCAATTGTCATTATCACTAGTTGTTACCCACGTACAACAACATCATTAGCCAACACAATCCTCAATTGACACTTGCAACAACCATTGTCGTCAAATATTTATTTATTTTATCACTATAATTAAATTATATATATTTATATATATATTAATACTATTAAAGTGGATAATATACTCACAATCAATGGGTTCAATCGATCTTAATACATTTGATATATATATATATATATATATATATATATCTTACTATTTTAAGAGATAAAGATTAATTTTGGATGTATAATTTTAAAAGTTAAGCATGTTGGTTGAAGTGGAATAAGTCGAGAAAATGGTTAAAATAGGTATTGTTTTAAAAAAAATAGTTTAAAATAAATATTCTATTTAAGAAAAATTTAATAAAAAAAATATTTTAATTGGTTGAGTGACTTTTTATATGAAATATCAATAATTGCATGATTTTTGGATCATAAAACAAAATTGAATAACCTTGTAAGAAAACTATCCTTATAATTAAATGACTTCCTAAGAAAACTATTCTTAATTAGTTAATTAAGTGACGATCTGAGTTAGTGACTACAACTTACTATAAATTGTATTTTATATTCCACTTTGATATTTTGAGATCTCTTTTTCATCTACAATTTATGATTTGAACTATTCAAAAATAAAGTTTATTCACAATATTTAAGTCTAATTTGCGGAATAAGACAAAAATGTTAATTGATTAAACTTAAACTAATTATGGAATATACGTATTTATTGATTTTAAAGCTGTCGATTAAATAAAATATTTTTAGCCGATATAACTCATTTAAAATGTGGTGCGAAGTGCGTTGGGAATGAAGGTAGTAGGTAGTGTAATTAGGTGAATGGAAAAGTGAAAAGGATGAATGTTGACCTTGAGCGTATCTCAAGAGACAGATCCTCTTGGTGGTGACGCAAAATTTACAAATATAGAGAAAGAGCAGAGGCGTCTCACTGGCCTTACTAATCTTTTCTCTTCGTTCTGCATAATCCAAAATTCAACAGAAGATCAGGATTCTGGGCTTCTTCTGCTTTTTGCAAATGCGGCCTTCTATCTTTAGATTCTTCCACTGGCATCTCCGTCACAACTCTTTAACCTCGGTATGTTCGTCCATTTTTACCTTTATCCTCTTTTGCTTCGTTCAATTTTCGTTTGAACAGGGTTTCAGAAGAAAAAATATACACTGTAATCAACTGTTAATAGCTCATGTATACCGTGTATGTATTATGCTGTTGAATTATATTATCCGATTTCGCTTAACTCCGCCTTTTGATTTCTGTTTCATGGTCTACTCTGTTACATAGTGAGGTTATGTGAGTTTGATATAATAAAGTTTGGAGTTTCGGAACTCGAATTATATGAACTAATCCTATGCTACTTATGAGTAGATTTCATATGAGATGGGGGTGGTATAGCCCTTCTTGAGAGAGAAATCTATTTGCCTTGTTTAACAGACCTTTAGTTTCTACCTGCTATTCTTATATGCATTTGGAAATATAACCATTATTGTTTTCCTCCTATTGGTTGATATGCTTACTCACACATTGAATGTGACATATGGATCATGTTCAGGTACAACATTTCTCAAAAAGCCGAACGCATGGTGAATGTTTTACTACCTTTTTTTTTTTTAGATTTTGTGCACTAATTAGCTCTTTTGATTTAAAGGGATTTACAAATATTTGATGCGTTCATTTTATTTGTTGTGGATTGTTTCTCTAGTTAGGCAATTGATTTTGTTCCTCACGTTCCTTTCCATTTCCTGCAATAAAACATGTACAATTCTTTCACACACACCAAAAAGTGAGATTACAGATATTTCATGGCTGTGATTTCTTCAATGATTCACCATATTGACATGTATGCAGTAATTATTTAGGTTTTACAAATTTAGAATTAGACCTTTTGCATATCTTGGTTAATGAAAACAAGAAGAATACTGTGATAAAACATGAACAGCACTTTGGTTATTGGCATGTCTATGATTTCTTCAATTATTCGTCATATTGACATGGATGTGGCATCATTTGGAAGTTGTAGAAGTCCACGGTTCACAATTGACCCGTTGCGTGCTAAGAAAGTCTTATGCTAAGGCTATTTACAAGCTAAATCTCAACCTACCTAGGCTGGTCAGCTTCTAGGTTCCTCGGACTCTTCAAAAATGTCGACGGAGACGGACGCATACCGGATCCTCCAAAAATAGTGTATTTTGGAAGGATCTGACACGGGTGTAGCAACATTTTTGGAGAGTCCAAGCAACTTAGGTCAGCTTTATGAGCACAAAATCTAAGGGCATAGGTGATATAATTCGAGATATACATGACAATGGAATGTACAGTAATAACAATTGAAAGCAAAAACTAAGATAGATTTCTATTAGCAGTAACCAACAAATAGTTTGAAAGAGTTTAACTAGAAGAATCTAGAACTTGGATGTGCGTCTCAGGAAGCAATCAACGTACGAACTCGATCCCTTCCGAAGAATGACAAAGTAGAATC